TGAGTTTTACAACTAATAGGCCCAAAACTCAGACATAAGAATTATCCTCAGTTTCACATTCAAGAAAACACTGAAGCTCATCGCTGTCAACTCCAATAAGCCTTCATCTTTTTTTCTTCTTCCAATCCAGTAGATCTCAGAGATGCAGTAAGTCTTGGGGAAAAGAGAAACCATGTGTAGTTGATGGCTGAGTACATGGTATCCTTGGAGAGGCAACAGGTAGGAGTATTGATTAACTTGTAGTAGTAGAACTAGGTATCATGAATGTGGCTTGGCATGGAAAAGGTTCTCACATGACTCATGTTTATAAGTCATTGGTATTTTATTGTTGAGCGCATATGACTTATTTAGGTCATATGACTTGTTATATTCTGATTTCTTATATTTTGCACATGACTCGATTATGAGTCATAGGATGTGCGCCAGACAAGTATGCCTTGTAAGTATGCCTTGAGGGGATGCCTTGTACATATGATTTATATTTTGCATATGACTTCATTACAAGCTCATGAGTTTTGTGCATGTGACCACTGGAGATCATATGACTTGGTTATTATGTTATGATTGGTTTATGAGTTTTCACACATGACCTTACTACGAGGTCATGGATTTTGAGCATGTGACCACTTTGGTCATATGACTAGTTTGTTATGATTTGGTTTCACACATGTGACCACTTTGAGTCGCATGACTTGAGGCAGAATGAAAACTATATAAGGAGGCTGGTAAGACTATTAGGAATACCAGGATCCAATACACAGGAGTCACAGTAAGTAGGGTAACCTTACCCGGGATTGGAATCTCCGGTCTCCGACACCCCGCTCTGGCCCCTCATGGGGCCTGCACATCATCATACATATCAATTTCAGTTGAGTCCTGTGACTTTGATACCACAGAATTGAAGGTGACAGAGTAATACCATCTACGTTGCGGCCGTCCGTCTGACTGGATCCTATTTGTAGGTTATATGACAGGGGACCTTTAGCTAGGTCTGACAAGTAGAATGGAGTAAATCTATCAAATACTCAGAAGGTTACTAGGCTTTGAAGATGTGATACCTTTGGTATGGGCAGTAGGTGACAGGACGTTTTGCACAAAGATGTGGTATTGAATAGTAAAGGATCTCAGCAAGTGTAATGATCCTCCTTTGGATAGTTAGTTCTTGGCAATGGGAATGATACTTTTCTTCTTTTTCTTCTTCTTTTCTTTGTCTTGCGATAGCACTAGGCCTCTGCCTATGTTACTAATAGTGTTAGACCTTTGTCTTCTATCAGGAACGTCTATCGTAAGCTTTCTCTAACTCTTCTTTTGTGAAGAGCTTTTCTTGGCATACCAATAAAGGTTGCAATAACGATAAAGATCGTAAAGGTGTTTTATATTCGTTAAAGTAATAAGTAGGAAAAGTACTTAGAATTCAATCTAATTTTATTTAAACTCGTAGTGCTAACAGTGGCATACAACGAGCCCCAGGACCTGGCGCCCAGGTTGTCACATCCCGGATACCACTAACTACGAACTAACTAAATCTCCAACTCCATACCTCAAACATGCCAGCACCATGCCCCAACACGAACAGTAAATACAAAGCCATCAATGGTAAAGAAAAGTCCTCCTCAGTCCAGCCTACCTGCCAGCTAAGTTACCCATACAAAATACAAAAATTCCACCACTGCTATTTGAATATGAGCCCCCAAAAACCTCCTCCACAATAGAAACCCACACGAGCGCTCCTACTCAATGATCCCGGGACAACCCACCGACTACTCCAGCACCCATCCCCACTCCTAAACAAAAGAAGTACTAAATACCCCAGCGCGTAGACCCAAGAGAAAGCCTACTTATCAGCCAGGGCTCCCTAGCCAAGGGGGTACAAACCATCATAGAGAATCAGGGGGGCACCACACCAGCAGTGCAGCTCAAAAACCCCGACGGAAGCAGCCAGAACAAGATAGTCGCCAAGCCGCCGGCACTGGACCGACCATGTCCAGGTATTCAACTCATGCTCCAACTTCTCAGCTCCATCCACAGTTGGTGAGCCCGCCATGGACTCAGTAGTAGCTGGTTTGCGACAGCCAACCGGTGAAGACGATGACCCTTCCAAGTCAGGGACAAGCGGCACAGGTAAGGTCTGATCTTGTTTGACCCGGAGCTTCTTGTTTCTCTTCCTCTTCCCACTCCCAGGTGCACGTCTAGTAACAGGAGTGAATGGGCCATCCTCATCACCACCTACTACCACAGGAGGGACATCACTAGAGGTGTTACTCCAACTAGCCACGGGCTCAGCCACAGAGGACCCAGGCACCTGCCCCCCCCGAAGGGGGTGATACCACCGCAGCTGGTATCACTACCTCAGGATCCACCCTGCTCACACCAGGAGCAAGCGCCTCAACCAGCCCCAACAAATCAGGAACCGGTCCACCCATACTACTACCCACAACCGCAGTTGCAGGAGGGGCTGATATAACCAGCGGTGCAACATTCCCCCAAGGGAGCTCCTCTCCTGAATCCTGAGAACTCTCAGGGTCTAGTCCATGCCTCCTAACCGAGACCACTGTAGTAACCAAAGCAATGGAGGGGATAGGCGAAGAAGGAATAACTGCAGGAGCTTCAGCTGCTAACACCGTGAAATAACCGTGATTAATAGCACATTCATGCTTCAGGGCAGCCGACAAGGCAGATATCTCTTTCCCATTGCGATGAAATCGCTGAGAAAGAATAGAGATGTGATGCTAAAAGTGAGAGACTTCAGCCTCCAGGGGGAAGTTCTTCACGATGGCACGAGACAAAACCACTGATGAACATAGAGCGGATGTGGCGGAGGCTCACTTAGCCATTGCAACTGTGAGGAGGAGACTGTTGTGAACAACCGAAGAGATAAGTAAAATGAAGAAAGAACTTCCAGCAAATGTAGAAGGAGTTATAACAACGAAGTCCCCAAAATGTGTTCGAAGTTAAAGACTTGAAGCCTATCGTGAGATAGAAATCATGGGCTCTGATTGGATCGATACTGAACCTTCACGTCTGATACGGGATAAAAGAAGTAGGAAAAGTACTAAAGACAAAGCGTGAAGAACCTATCCTCCTCAGCCGCATCAGCCTCCTTATATAGTGTTCTTTCCGCTCTTAGTCATGTGACCCAAAGTGGTCACATGTGCAAAACCAAATCATAACAAACTAGTCATATGACCAAAGTAGTTATATGCTCGAAACCCATGACCTCATAGCGAGGTCATGTGCAAAAACTCATAAACGAATCACAACGCAATAAACAAGTTATATGACTCAAATGAGTCATATGTGCAAAACCCATGACCTCATCATGAGGTCA